GACTTCATTTTTACAGCTCAAATCATTACGTTATTGTCCACTTTTTCAAAAATATGAGTACTGTATTTTATTCAAATAAGATTGCGACTGCTTTCTAAAATGGTGGATTGGTGTTACAAACTTGGCTGGCCTCTACATCTCCAAGTCTCTCACTTTGTACACATATATATATTTTTCCCTGGCCGTACTTGAAGGTGATGGATTTTAAATGTATGTGCAACAATTACCCACATGTTTGGACAAATGCATGACTTACATTGCTACATTATTACAGGAGAGTGGATGTTGTTGGCCTATCATGTGTATTGCTACATTATTACAGGAGAGTGGATGTTGTTGGCCTATCATGTGTATTGAAGTTGTTACAACTATGTGTGAAACATTTATAGTGCACATTTTCTAATAAAAAAACCCAATTTGGGTAACTGGTATGTGATATGGTTGATATGATGAATACAGCATAGGTCACTGCTTGTGTCATAATTATACATTGGAATTCAGAGTACTTGTTGTTTCTTTCTTTCCAAAAACAATTGAGTCATATTGACATGCCTTTTCTTTTGAAAAAAAAGGAGCAGTGTTATTGTATATTTTATTGGGAGAACATACACTGTGGGGTCTGTCCCTGATGATGATGTCATCAATTGCATAGTTCAAGGTTATGTGGGCCATTATTAGCCTTCAATCTGTGCGAATTGTTTCAGTTCTGTTCTGTGTATTTGTTCAATTAGAAATATTATTAAAACTCTGTTCTTTAATTATTATTGTTGGTCAGTCAGGTGACCTACGCAGAATCAACTGTACATAATTATGTGAGGCAGCGTGGTGGAATCAGGCTCTCGTCAAAATAATCAAAGTGAAGAAACTTGCATTTTTCCGCAGGTTTGTGAATATGTATCGAATTTTTGTTTTTTGGCTCAACACCTTTCATGTCCTTTAAAGAACTCATTTCTGTGTGAATTTTTCTGAAAAACGTTGATTAAAGGCGCAAAAAATGTGAATTTTCAGTTATCACGGACTCTTAAGCTAAGGAAATAACTACTTAACTACTCTTCGGCGGCCATTTTCTCACTAATTTTACCTCTGAAAACAGGTGACCCCCACCTCCTTCTTTTGCAAATATCTCGACTTGTGTTCAAGATAAATGGATATTTTCCATTCCAAATAAAGACAAGTGTACAAGCTTTATAATGAAACCAATAACTCTACATGCCCAAAAATTGCTGAGAGCTTGATTCCACCACGCTGCCTCACATATTGTACTTGTACCTTGGTTTTATCTTTGCAAGTGTCATAGTGTAATAGTGGAATAGTGTAATAGTGGAATAGTGATTGTGCACTGTGTTTAGTATCTTTTGGTGTTAACAAGGAAAATCGATCGTTGAATGGACCGAGTGCACGAGGGAGACATTTGATGGACATATATCATAATTTTGTACTGCATTCCATTAATTTTTGTCCATATTTTGTTCATAACCAAATTGTGCAATAAAGATTTTCATGCCGCTGAACTGATGACTGTTTATTGATATCTTGATGAGAAAATACTTCACAGTTGAGTTAGGTGCAAAATATCAAATATCTCCCGATTCAGTTGCTCTGTTTTCAGGCATCGTCGTGCTTGCTTCGCCATTGTTTCTTTCCTCCCATGTTTGCCTTGTCGCAACTGAAACAACATCGAGTTGATTTGCTCCTCTTTGAGTCTTCACTTTATTTTAAGTTCTAAATATTTAAAGACAGTCCAGACTGTGTTACGGCCTAAAGGTTGGAAATGTTCTGTGATCAAAAAGGCCAGAGCAACTGTATTGATACATACATGCTGCAATTTCAGAGTTTTCAAACCGTTACTTTATATTTGGGTGGGCTCTCGTGGTCCAGAGGTTAAGGTGTTTGCCTCTCATTCAAAGGTCCTGGGTTCGATACCTGACAGCAACGAAAAATGTTCTTCTCTAAAATTTTCTCCTTTCACCTCCTTTCCTGCTCTTTAACACTTTCTGTCGTCTGCTTTGGTCTCGACTTTTACCCCCCCTTTCTTTTGCCCCGTCCTCTCGGCTCCGGACTTTTTCCGCAGCCTTTCTACTGCTACTACTTGGCTCCTTCTTACTGCTGTCTTTCAGCCACATCCCTGATCTAAAGGTACGTAAGATCAGGTAAGATGGAACAGCCACATCCCTGATCTAAAGGTACGTAAGATCAGGTAAGATAGAACAGCCACATCCCTGATCTAAAGGTACGTAAGATCAGGTAAGATGGAACAGCCACATCCCTGATCTAAAGGTACGTAAGATCAGGTAAGATGGAACAGCCACACCCCCGATCTTAGGGTAGGTAAGTTTGATAAGGGCGAAAAAAATCTCGCAGGTCCGGTGTGCAAGTTGCACATGTTAAAGATCCCATGGTGATCCAACATCAATAAGAGTAGACTTTGGCCGCCACCCAGGCAAAATTCAAAACTAATTCCTACCAAACTGTCCAGTGTGCTCATATGACTTCATGCAGTTGCGAGCATCGTAAACACTTATCACCCCCCCTCCCCCCCCCAAAAAAAAAAACCAACTTCATGTGTGTGCGTGCCTGGTGAAAGGGACAAGAAGACGAATTTGTTCGAACCGAGATATCAGGCTTCTTTACTTTTATCCACCATTTATACCCTTTTGGGTGTCGCGGGAAGAAAGAGATGTCTCTCTGTCGCCAGCCGGAGAGCTTGGGTCAGGGGGATGCCGTGGGTGGTTAATGTTTCCCTGACTCCATCTATCCAGGGCTTTCTCAGTCGCCCTCTAGCCTTGTTGCCATCGAATTTTTTTATGTTGGTACGTGCTGTTGGATGCATGACATTTGTGCCTACCATTCCTCGGATTACAGAGTTTCTAATTTTGTCTCGCCTGGTCTTGTTTACTGCTTTTCTAAGGCATCGCATTTCACATGTTGTAATTGTTTGCTCTAATGTCTTGTTCGTGGTCCATGTTTGGCATTGATCATTGATAGGTGAATAATTATGGTGTTGATCATTTTGAGTTTTGTTGTCATGGGGATGTTAGGATGTTTCAGTAGTGGAGAAAGCTGGTAACTTACATCATTGGCCTTTTGTACTCGTGTTTCAATTTATCTGTTCAGTCGCCCATCCTCTGTGAATATACTTCCAAGGTACTTGAATTCTTCGACCTGTCTGAGACTGTTGTTGTTGTGTATCCTGAGTGGTTCTAGATTTCTGCTTCCTTTCATTGTCTCTGTTTTGTTGCTGTCGATCTTCATGACGTAGTTGTTACATTCTTCGTTTGATCCGGTGGTTGATGGTGTGGGGTGGTGTTGGAGACTTTGTTCATCTTTGTGTGCCAGGCTTTGGTCATCAGCGAAAAATAATTCATTTAGGGCGTCTGGTTCTGTGTTGGCCTCTTTTGTAATTCTATCCAAACATATGATAAATAATACTGGTGATAGAACACAACCTTGTCTTACTCCGGATGTTATCTCGAACCATTCTGTGAATCCCTCTGTTCTCGTAAATGGCATGGATGTTATCTAGAAGTTATCTAGGAGTTGGCCTCTTAGTGTGGTTTTCAAGTTATTTCCTCAGCTTGTTTCTGTTCACTCTGTCGAACGCGTTCTCCTGGTCGATAAATACTTTAAGTATAAGTCCCTATTGTTTCTATTACCCTTTCGCACATTTGTCATAGGGCAAATATTGCCTCGGTGCATCCTCTTCCCTTTCTAAATCTCATTTGGGCCTCACTCAGAAATGGTTCGACTTTGTGTCTCGTTCGCCAGGCTTCAAAGGTCAAAAATATAATTTTTGACAAAAACTAAATTCCTTTAAAAATGGATTCTTTAGCCATTAATTTATCGATATTTACAAGGACTTGAGTTTCTTTTACTTTAAAATACATTTTTAAAGATGTTTTTTAACACGAGGTATATTGCATACTCCCAGAAAATACGTGAGAAAATTGGTTTTCCAAGTACACACTGCGGATGGTTTCTCTTGTCCATTCACAAAGTCGACCCAATCACATTGCATACCAAAATTTAGGTCATTCTCTCCCCTCTCTAGTGGCGGGTAGTGCGCATGAATATCTAGGACATGTAAACAAAACGAAGCTTTGCGCATCCACACCCTTTCGGTTTTTTGGAGAGCAAACTTGTAGTATCAAATTTTTCTGCGCTGCGCAAACCTTGATCTATTTCTTGAAAACTCTTGCTCAAGGTGGTGGTGAATTTGTTTTGAAGACGTGATATCAACACTTTGAAGCTGTTCTTTTGTCTTAACTGCTTTTTAAAGTTGGTTCGTGAGTAGCAAATGTGTTGTCAAATTAATCCTCAACAAAGGTTTACGTCAAAAACAAAAAAACAAAACAGGGCAAATTTTCAAAGCTCCCACCAGTCGCCAGAAAGACAAGTGGCTGTCTACTACGGCACTGCTTGTGTTGGTTCCCACCAGTCGCCAGAAAGATAAGTGACTGTCTACTGCTGAACTGCTTGTGTGGGTGGTAGAACCTTTGGTCAGCTGTTCATTGCGCTCTTGCAAATGAGTTGAGATATTTTCAAAGTAGCTTTAGGCGTTACCCGGTACCCCTGTTTCTAGTCATTGGTTAGGGTCAAGCTCTGATGAGAACAGGCACAGCACATTCTCCAGTAAGCACTGATAGTCTGGCATTTCTGATGGTTTTACACAATGCAAAAAAGAGAGCCTGTGGAAACTAAATACATGTAGGTCTTTTTGCACAAAAAAAAGCAGACCAAGACTGAGGAGGGTTCTCAAAGTTAGATGCTCGTCAATACCATCTCCAAGTAAAGACTATCACATTGTGACACTGATTTCTCTCTGCCTTTTTTACAATCAACATGTAATGTTCAAGACCACCTGATTGAATGTCTGCTATTATATATGCGCAGCAGAAACCTTGCTTATTCTACAAAGCTTTAAAGAGGCATTCACGCCTGAAAGGAAGCTTAACAATAACGTCAAACACACAGAAAAAAACAACAAATCAACCAACAAATAATTACTTGAAATGTGAACAATTTAATAACTTAAGTATTCGACTGCTGTAAGTTCCGATGGTACTGTTCTATCCACGAGCAGAATTTCTCATAAAACAGCTTGGAATTGGACACCTGTGCCGAGGAATCCTTGGCAAGATCTTGAGTTGTTCCCTCATCATTCTGAAATATCAAATTTTTATGATTTATAAGTGAACAAAGCTACAATGAAATTTCTTTACAGCATATCTTCGGTGTTGCAAGCAATCCATTTTAGTCCGTTTGGGTACTTTTTATACCAGTGACAAAAAATTAGTTTTTGTTTTGTTGTTCCTATCAGGAATCATGACAAGCAAAAAAATTGTAAGCCTTGACCATAGCATTAAACTGCGATTTGGTGAAGATGAAAGGTGCATCTTTGAAAGGGCTTTGGAAGGGTGTAAAAACTGAAAAATCTAAAAAATTTGGACTTGCTTGGATTGCTTGCGACAGCGACAATATGATGATAATGTTAAGGTTTCCAGCAGGTAAAAGTAAAAGAGAAGACCATCTCACAGTGACAAAGGTCCAGAAGGTGAAGAAGGTCACTGCATTAGTTCTTTTGGAAGATGCTAAACAATAATAGAGGCAGTCCAATCTGATTCCTAACCTACATCTTTACAAACATCAGTTAGAAACGGCAGCACCGAGACATTTCTTTTTATTAATGCATATATATATTTTATTAATAAAGAAATAAATGGTTGCCTTACTTAGGCTCAATGTATAAGACCAGCAATCACACACTCGACCCAACGCATTCTCACGAATAACACTCACAATCACACACAGCCAGACGCAAACACATCGAGACAAAGTCACATGGCCCAGCTCATATGCAAATGAGCTGGGTGAGTTCATTATTCGGTGCTGCTGACCTAACAACTACACTATCAAAATTCCTGTTCAGGCCAAACTCTGAGAAGCCTGTTTCGCTATGCTTATACTTCTAGTAAAGCTTTTTTAAACTATCAGCACGGTACTTTATTTATGGTGAACAAACATTTCTTCTCCAAATACATTCCCCAATCACAAAAATATTCTTTTTTTCTGACATCGTCACACAGATAAGTATTGACAGGAATGTTTGGGCTATGAAATGAAGAAACGTAAAACAAACAGGGAACTTTATGTAAAGAATCTCCCAAACACAGTTTTAGTGTGCAGAGGAGATAAAATTCTGTCAAAAGATTCACTACGGAACATAACTAAAAACTAAACTGCAAATCGAATAAAATTTGTAGAAGCCTATCACTATATAGCAAATTTACTGTCATTGAAGATAAGTCTCAGAAAGTCAATTCTGCCTGTGGGCTGGTGATAAGGATTTTTGCCTTCCCTGTGTGTGTGTGTGCGTGCGTGTGTGCATGCATGTGTGTGTGTGTGTGCATGCCTGTGTGTGCGTGTATGTAAATGAGCAAAAGCATGCATATGATGGGACTGTGGGGTCTGTGTGTGTGTGTGTGTGTGTGTGTGTGTGTGTGTATGTGTGTGTGTGTGTGTAGGTGTGTGTGTGTGTGTATGTCTGTGCCTGTGCCCAAGCCTCTGCTTGTGTGTGTGTGTGTGTGTGTGTGTGTGTGTGTGTGTGTGTGTGTGTGTGTGTGTGTGTGTGTGTGTGTGTGTGTGTGTGTGTGTGTTTGTGTGTCTGTGTGTGGATAAAATGCAGACTGCTACAAAATATAAAAGTTTTCCTCATCAGTGAATAAGTTTCTATAATCATCATCTACAAATGAGTGCCATTACCTGCGAGTCCACGGTCTCAGTATCACTCTTCATCATACACTGAAAAAAAAGAAAGAACAATGGCAGTGTAACTTGAAAGTGTCTGGCTTTATTATACACAGACATAAGTGGGACATTAGGCCTACATCTTACAGTCCTACATGCAAAATATGAGCTTTCAGACCAAAATAAAAATCCAAAAGGATGAAATAAATAATTTTTATCAAGTTTAAATGAAAATTATCATCTTCCTGTTATACATCAAATTATGAAAGAATACAGAGTCCTTCACAGTTCAATCCATATTTCCAGCTGATACTAAAATGGTGTGGACTAATCATAATAACAAAAGCTAAAACAACTACTAGTAGTCACTAGCTGGCAGCAGACACACATGGGCTAAAATAGGTAGTAGGAAAAATACTGTTGAGTACAATGTATGTACACACACAGAATTAAAAATAGAATTAACATTACTTGATTAGCATATTCCTTTTGGTCTTCAGGTAAAGGGAGCTTGTTCACAGTCTCTGTCGTCTATACAAGGAGACAAAAATAACCCATCAGGTTTAGTAAAAGAGTTAAAGAGTTACATATGTCACATTGTCCATCAGGTACATCGAATGTCACATTGTCCATCAGGTACGTCGAATGTCACATTGTCCATCAGGTACGTCGAATGTCACATTGTCCATCAGGTACGTCGAATGTCACATTGTCCATCAGGTACGTCGAATGTCACATTGGCCATCAGGTACGTCGAATGTTAAAGAGTTATATCGCACTTGCAACAGAAATAGGTTCTAGAAGTAATGAAGATCATAGATGTGTTACTAGAGAGTAACTTACAACAAAAAGATGGAGAAGATGGACGACAAATGTTTGATAGGAAAAAAAGAGTAGACCACACTAGAAGGCCAACTAACCACTCAACAGGAAAAATTACTGCACATCCAGACATTTCGGGAGAAAGGAATGAACAAGAATATATAATGTACACATGACCAAGCAGACCAAGTCTTTTATCAGAACAAGAAAACATGTCCCTCCTTACTGGTAGTGTTTGTAAAATAAATATTTATGATTAAAATCGGTTTGAAGTCATCTGGAAAAAATAAGGGTCATGCCGAAAAATAAAAAAATATGCATCTTTTGCATTGTCCAGTTAAAATCATCGATGAAATCAGTGTATGAACACGTTTATTTTATGTTTTCTGGACCCTACCATGAAGCTAATACATGGCCATCTTTGAGATTAAAAGCCATTTTGTCCTTTGTATGATTTCCTGCCCTGCAACATTCATGGTCATAACTTTGGAACCACTGAAGGTATTAGCATGAAATAAAGTACACATTACTCAGAAAAGTGTTCTAAATCAGAATATGTACTCTCAATATGAACATTTTGACCCATGTGAAGGATTATCTTACACCACCACATAGCTATTTCCTCAAAGCTAAGTTTAAGGAACAAAACATAGAACATAAAAAAACAGCCTTTCGGAACACTTTTGTTACAAAAATAATAACTAAGTGCTTTGAAATAAGAAAACGGGTACAAAAGATTCAACGTTCCCTGCACAACATATTTAAAACTCCCGAGTCTTTGTAAGCAAATTTGAAACATAAAATGGCAATTGCCTTAAATACAAATCCTCAGTTTCTGCCTCAAATTCAACAGAAAAACAAAATGCCTTATTGTCTCTGCCCCACGAAAAATCTGTGTAAACCCAACGTGATTTTTTCCTCACTTACTGAAGAGGGTCAAAACGAAGTTGAGCATTTTTTTCAGCAACACCAACATAACTTTGTCAAAGTTCTGAAACAAAAAGTGTACCTGTTCTATGAGCTGTTTATTCCGTTCTTTTATGATGTCACTTGCTCTGAACAATGAAGATTGTAACAGTAATCTGAAATGAAATATAGACAATATTTTTTAAAAAAATAAGTCCTGAAACAAAATGTAAAAAATACAAACATGTGAACTTGAGGCTAAGACAGAGATGTGGACTTGTAGCAAATATTATTACCAACAGAGAAGTATCTTTGTGGGAAGTGTGAATACACATAACTTTATCAAATGCAGTCTCACTGTTTTCATTCAAGCCCCGAAAAGGTATGTCCTAACTGTTTGCAGAATTGGTTTCTCTCTCTGGATCTTTTGCTTCATGAAATCTCTTGGTGAGTTCCTCATCTCTATCATTTGAAGGCTCTTGTCATATGGCCCAGAATCATAGAGTTGTGTGAAAAACTCGAGTTGTTTCTGCATAAAATGTTCCAGCCAGTCTAGTGGTGAGAAGACTCCTTAGATCTCTTAGGCTGGAGCAGTCAAACATTTGACGGTCAACAGCCACCGCATGCATGTACATTCTTGCACAGCTCCAGTTTTGCGACTTATGTTTCAGGACAGCTAATCATAATACTTGCACAATGAAACCGTATTTCAATGAAAATTATCTCACTTGTTTCTATTCGCCATTGTGAAGAGTGACTCTCAGAGAAGAGAAAGACAGTACACAATTAATCACACGGCTGTTATATGATGCAATCCCTATCCCCAACATGGATTTTTTTAAACAGGATACAACTGCAGGATGGCTTGCTTCATTTAAGGAAAGGGTGTTGAGCAAGTAACACAGCTGAATCCCTTTTGACAACTACTAACTGAGAGATTCCTGCTTGACAACAACTGAAGCAATCTGTCTCCTGACACTATCTTTGCTACCCACCACTACAATTAATCATTATTCAGAAGGGTTTATTTTCGTTGAAAACATACCTGGCTCGCACAAAACATGTCAAGGCCAGTTCCAGGTATTCTCCTGCAGTGCAAGAAGAAGTGTGGTCTGAGGCATTGATTGATGAGAGTTCAGACGTCAGCTTCATATAGGCACCACCGAGCTGACGCCAAAACTTATCGTAGTACGGCTGGATGCAGCATAACCTTTCAAGGGCCTCAACACACTCTGAAAAACATCACAAGTAATGGCAAGTAGCAACAATATGGATTGAGCCATCAAGTTTTCAAACAAAATACAATCAGTTCATCTCAGACACCTCCATACACATGAAACAAGTTCACTAAACACTTTGCCCCCACGGGGCACTGATCGGCCACGGTGTGATCTGGCAACACAAATGTTGTAGCAATGGTCTCCTTTTTGACATGCGCACTTGTTAAAGTTAAATTTCCTTTAAGAATGGTTTGTGTGGTCTTTGAGGTCTAAAATCAGTTTGCATAAAACAATTGGAGTAAATTTTGTTTGAAAAATGTCAAGTAGACCTAGCATGAGTGCTGCTTTACTCTTACGCCATGAGGAGAATTCAGGTGATAAATGAGCTAGATCTAACGTTTTCAGTTCCAATTCTAATTCCTTTTTTGATGAACATGTGATCGTCACTTTCAATTTTCTCAGCATGCTAAAAATTTCATGGCGGTTGGGGTATTTTTTGCAGAGACACAGGGGTAGTACTGACGTAGCCAATCTGCATCCTGGTACGTGGGGACAAGTGCTGTGCGTTCTGTGAGCTGCGTGGGTGGAAAGTGTTAAATCCAACCTAAATGGTTAAGTTAAAATTTTTGATCAGAGGTAAACAGAGTAGTTCAAGAATCGAAAATTTTAAAAGTTTTATTTTCTTAAACGCATAAAAAAATTATACATTTGTTTGAGTAATATAAGGGAAAGTAGATAAGACTTGAAAGTCCAAAACTGTTTAAGAAAAGTGTAAAATCATCAAGGAAACAGACTATCTGTCTACAATAAGAAAAGGTACCTGCCCATCTCCCACTCATCTCACACACTGAAGAATAAAGTATCAAACTCTGCCTCTGTCTAGCAATATCCTCAGTTGCCAGTTCTGACACCTGTAACAGAAGAGATGTCAAGAACAGTGTGCGTGAGAAGGAAAATCCAAATCTGAGTTAAACAATCAATTGCTGCATACAGCCAAAGCTCGTTATATCGCCTACCATGGGATGAGCCTAAAGTTGGCGGTACAGGGGAGTAGGTGCTTTAACAGGATACCATCAATTGCCGTCTTGACTAGTGGTAAACTGGTAGAAACTAGAGATAAACTGTAGCCAGTCTTGCATCATCTACATCTGTCTTGCACGATTGCCATGCACAGGGAAAAAATAAGTAAACAACCAATTACATGTACAGCTCTAACTAAACTTTAATTAAGTGAATTCAAATGAAAAGAAGCCAGGATCAGAAGCCAGGATCAGAAGCCAGGATCAGAAGCAAGGATCAGAAGCAAGGATCAGAAGCAAGGATCAGAAGCAAGGATCAGAAGCAAGGATCAGAAGCTGGGCTGTATGTGTCAAGGACCCTGTAGCGGTAGGTTTTTTAAAAAACCTGATACTTGTCAGTCCTTGGGCATTTCATAATCAGCGCAAATCAAAGGAAAAAGTTTGGAAGATATGTTTTTGAAAGACTATCAAAAGCAGCCACTGTGTGGGCGCCGTGCTCCGTGTGTGCCTCTGGCAGCCATTTCACTGGCGGTAGAGCAGGCAAATTTACATTCGTTTAATAAGGATTGTACAACTCAGACAGTTGGTGGATGGGGGTGTGAAGGCATAAATACTATGTCTATATAGATGTTCCTTTATGTACTTTGGCCAAACCTGGCGGTAAGCGGGGGCTGGCAGTAGAACTGGGGACGGTACAACAAGATTTGACCGTGCAATGCAAGATTTTTGAAACTAGTTATCTTGATAACAACAGGATCAGTGAAGCTTATAATTTTATAAAAGTACAAAGTGAAGCAACGAACAAAGAGTGTAACAGTACAATATAATATTACACAACAGTCGCTCTTGACTCATCTTCTTATTTAAACTTACCAACTGTTTTGCAAGGTTTAGACTTTCTTCATGCCTCCCACAGTGTGAATAGCATCGGCACAGTGACTCTCTCACATCCTGCGCGACTGAAACATTGGATTCTGGGAGTACATCTGGAACATAGATATAGAACCCAAGGAATATGACTCAAAGAATTATATTCCAAGAACATTTGGTAATTGTATAAAATGAGTCAAACAGAATTCTACAAAATCAGTATTTAAGTTTAAAAAATGTGAAATAAGATTTAAATAATTTTTTTACTCCTCTTTTTTTGAGGGAGTGGTGGAAATTCCAATCTCTCTAAAAAAAAGACATTTGTACCAAATTAATTATAGACCAGAAAGTTTTTATTTTATAGAATATGTCTTCTGCTGCAAAAACAGCTGACCCAAATGGTCAAAATTTTCAGTTTTACAAAATGTTACTTTTTAGGTACTGAATCTTCGTGTAAGTGCTACCACCTCTGTAAAAAATTCCAGCAATTAGTTTCAATCTGTGACAATCTCATCATGAAAAGTTTTAATCTTCTCTGGACTTGAAATTTTAAAAATCTGTAATAAAGTTGTTTCAAGTTTAGAATTAAATAGCAATAGCCCAAAAAAAAATGCAAAGTGTATTATATAATATTCAGAAATGTCCAGGTGGTGGCAAGAAGCCTTGGGGTTTCTCTGCTAAAGCAGAGCCAGAAAAAGCAAAATAGGTATAGAGAAGTAAATTCCGAAAGAAAGCAAGCTCAAAATGACAAACATGATTATATTATAAGAATATGACATGCCTACCTAAAACAGCCTCATATTGCTTTGCAGCTTTGGAAAATTGCTTTTGTCCATAGTGAAAATCACCACTGAATTTTAAAGTGTTATGCAGCTCTTCTGGGTCAGCAGGTGCGCTTGTATTGCACACAGAAGAAGCACAGTTTTCAAACCACTGGAAAATATGGAGGGGAAAAAAGGTAAACCTTATTACCTATTATACTATTGACAACTTCATATCATGTTTCAAACAAATAATACACATACAATGTCTACGATTTATGTACTTCGGATTATAATTCTATAATCTAACTCTATGGCTCTTTCAGATGACTCCAATAGTAGTTCCTTGAGCCCCCCTATATAGATATATATATAT